AGTTGAAGTCCACACATCTTAAAGTCGCCAAGTTTGAAAAACACCGGCTTACCACAACATAACAGCACGATTATCATATTGCACCTTAACAAGAACCATGCAAAGCAGACAACACAGACCAAACCTGACAAATTACAATGAACTGCCTACATGTTAATTAACTTCCAAAGCTTGCTACTGTATCTATTGGAATAGACTGCCTTTAAAAAGACTACATCTTTTAAGAATTTTCAGCCTCCCTGGACCATCTGAAGAAGAAAAGTCCACTTTTAAAGAAAACACAAAGCATTTTTATTGCATTATATACCGCCACGTCTGTTCTGGTATGATGTTTGGGTCACAGAAGTTTAATATGGAAGGAAGCATTTACTGTTGACTGGCAGAGCGAACGTTTCAATAGGTGAACATTTCAATGAGTGAAATCTGAGTCCTCACTAAATAAAGCCACCTTCTTCTGCCCAACGTCTTCCAGATGGTGTTGGGTTTCATCACCGTCCCCATAATCCCCGCAAGCAGTAGAAGGCCGAGGAGAACTCTGAAAGAGACCCACTGAGATCAGTGGGAAGAAAATTTTTATTTACTTAATGAGATCCTACCTTTCAATTCCACCAGAGAATGGATCGACTGAAACTGGATCGTCCCCTCTGGGTAGCTAGGAAGACACTTCTAATTGCAGGTTTATGTCTGGTTTGGGGAGGACGTGCTGATCAGAAACCCAAATACAGAAAAGGGCTTTGCAAAACCCTGTGGAGTGGTTGGAGGCCAGACCCAGCCCTCAACAATAATTGTACATCCTTGGCTAACACGCCAGCCCGACGGCCCCAAAGGATTTCTCAGTGGTGTGAACGTTGCATCGTTGGTGGATGACACGGACTGCATTCCTGTCTGGATTATGTAATATGCAGACAGACCTCCCTGATTATTTAAATTTAAACTTAATTGGCTCGTTTGCTTAATATGGGACCAATGGTTTAGGAGTTTAGCAGCAGCAGACGGAAGTTTGCAAGCATATTGCAAAAGGGTCAGTTGACCGACCTATAAAAACTCTATTCAGCACCTTGCATTTCAAAGACTTTAGTTTGGGGGAAATCTGGTACTGAGGAGGCTCGGGGATAGCAAAGTGGTCTGGTCCTGTTTCCAGTGAGAGAGTGATAACTGGGGAAAGGTGGTGTTTTCTGAACAATTTGAGTCCATGCTGGTAAGCTTACATAGAGAAAAAATTATGGAGGCTGCAATATCCAGATGTCCTCAAGATGGTGATAAAGAGACCCTGAAAACCTTAACTCTTTGCTGGCCCCTAGTGGTCACCCGTTTGGTACTTCTGGAGAATAAAATATTCTGATGGTTTCTCCATCCAACCCATCCAGTATAACTCCGTGAGAATATATGATGTAATCTTTCTACACACAAACATGCACACGCTCTGTGATGTTGAAAAACAGGCATACCCAAGCAAAGCTGGCCTTCATCTTATTTCCATGTGCACGAAATCACACTTGGTGTGGTGCCAGCAAGGTCCAGAACAAGGTTATCGTGGTTTTGGTGGTGGTGGTGGTGGTGGTGGTGGTGGTTTTTAAAAGAAAGCTTCTCCCTCATCCCGTGCATTGCCATTCATTTCTGAAAGAGGCAATGAAGGAGCAGGAAGTTGTGCAAAATGGGGGGAATTACAGGAATTGAGATCACTTCTTGCAAACCAGAAGTCTGTCAGGCACGGTCACAGGACTCCAATTCCAATCCGTGAGCAGATCTCAAACAACCACCCAGAAAGACCAAGATTGGCCTGGATATGTAGATTTTCACAGTGCATTTGGCACGGTGTAGAAATCTGCCTGTTCTATAACTGGATAAGTCAGTTATCCCCTTATTTTTTTAACAGACTCCTAGAGTTAGAAGAGCTCTGTGAGATCCTGTATTCTATTTTATTTTTAATTCAATTTTTAAAAGCCCTTGAGAGCATCTACTCGAACCCCTTGCTGAAGGCAGGAATCCAAATTAAATTCTCCCAGACACAGGGCTACCCAGCTTCCCCCTGAATGAATCCCACCCAAAGGCGCCTCCAGCTCTCTGCATCCTTGATTCCACCCTCAAACTGCTCTTAGGCTGAGGAAATTTCTTCTAAGATGTCATCAGGATCTGCTTTTCTGTAAGCTGAATCCATCACTCCAGGCCCTACACCAGTGTTTCTCCATCTCAGCAACTTTCTGAAGGGGGGGGGTTTACCCCCCCCAAGTATCTACCCCCCCCACCGC